TTCTTAAGTAAAATTAAATCTGATCATCTTATCTAATCCAGAACTTTTATTATTTTAAAAAATAATTTTTTAATGATTTGATCCCTTTTTCTAGCACATTTCATATAACTAATATTAAACTAAAATAAACTAAGAATAATCATTATCAAATCAAAATTAAAATAAACCACTCACTCCTCCTGATTATTTATTGCAAATAAACTAGTATCACGTAACATAAGCTCTTATGGCTTCATAAAATTAACAAACTTGCTTTTATAATAATCAAAGTTTTTTTTATTAAAAAAACTATTTAAACTAATTTATAATGATGATAAATTATTTGATAGTAATAATTGTATATTTGTTTAAAGCATGACTAATTTTTATCTAGTTGTGGTTTTACATTTGCATGATAATCATGATATTGTTGAAATGATTTTTTTTTTTTTTTTTTTGGATTGGTTCTAGTGATCGGTCGCCCGATGATATTGTTGAAATGATCAATTTTTTTTAATTGTTATGACATGATGAGAGGCTGGCGTTTTTTGCAATAGAAACGGAAGAAACTTCCAAGTTTAGAAGCCATTCCTCTAATTTTACTGAGATTAAGGGTTGAATATTTCCATATCTGAAAGAAGAAAGTGAGAGATCTATTTTTTCTATTCAGAAGAAACAGCTGGTATTTCTTAATTTGGATGTGGCGCAACGCAAATCAGTTATTCAAACTGATTGTTTCTTAGAATTAAATGTTATCAATCTCAGAAGGTCATTTTCCTCACAATCCCATATACTTGACCATTTCTGACATAATTAATAAATGTAAAACGTAAGTCGTTATAAATCATTAAAATTTCAAAATAATAAAAATCATATACCAACAAACCATTTTTTTTGCCAAACGTGCGATGAATTTAAGCGAGCAAGTAAAACAAAAATTAAAGATAAACTCAAACACTAGGGAATGATATTATAAAATGAATTTCGAAAAATGAACTCTTGGAGGAAACGTAAGCTGCTACATGCATTTTGAATGGTTGATAAGTCAGTAAAAAAACCAGTATAAAAGATCCAGCGAATCTGAGAATACAACCCTGAGACATTCCTTTATATCATATCCGACCCTTGTTAGATATTTTTGGCACAAACATAAAAGGTATAACTACACTTGATCACCTACCTCAAATGAATTTTCATTGCCGTTGAATATACTGGATGATGTCAAAAAAAATAAAAAAGACATCCTTTGAAATTCTCCAAGACAAAAAAATTGAGTACCAAACCAATATTATGTGAAACGATGGATGTTCTACGAATAATTCATGTGGTACAAATCAACTTTTTTAAATATTTGAAATTCAAAATTAGAAAAGTTAATTTATTTTAAACAAATTGAATTTTAGAAAACAGATTTTCGATGCATTTTAATAATGATTTGCTAGATTTTTTTTTTTTTTTTTCTTATCAAATATTAATAATGTGCGGCAAAATCTTTTGTACTTCATTTGTCCAATTTTAAAGCATTGCACTGCTTTAGGAAGTAAGCATGCAACGTTAGACATGTTGAGTTGAGCATTACATTATGCAAAATAAATATTTATGAGAAAAGACGCATATTTGTACAATCCTCAAACAAATTCAATAGGAATGGTTATCCAATAATTAAATTTTTCAAGGTCCAATTTTGGGTCACATTGAACCTACCCGCCTTTTGACTGGTGAAAAAAAAGGAGGAACTTTTTTTTTTTTTTTTTTAGCCTTTAGGGTGTTTCAAACCAAAAAAAAACCTTTTAAATCCTTAACCCACAAAGTAATTTCCCTGCAACAAAAGTCCAACTCTGTTCAATCTCTACTTATTCTTTTTTTTCGTCTTAAAAAGATAAAGTCGCTCCTTTTTACTATATACTGCCTATAATATGCCTTTGGTAGGTTATTTTTAAAAATAGGTTAATAGTCTTTTCGAACCTTCAACTTATGACCAGATTATATTAAATTTTCTTTCTAAAATTCTTAATCGACTATTTGATTTTTTTTAGGAATACGCTCTTCAACACAGGTAAATAATTGTAAGCCCCGGGTTTGTTCTCAAAGATGTAAAATTATGAGGTTTTAACAGACTCAAATGTGTTCATCAGATCCAAGTTTTATGGAAAACTCCAGATTATTATCAAATATTTATATACTTCAATTTTTAATTATAAAATAATTTATTAGAGGAAGTTTTCCCGATCCCGGACCATGGAAAATACCTCAAACTCGCGAAGTTCTCCTCAGAGATACTCTTGGTATCGAAGCCCTTCCCCGACAACGTTTTAATAAGACTAAGAGAACTCCTTATGTACTTAATATTATGGTTGTTGGTATGTACAAATAAAATTTTATAATCTTTATTTTAATTTTTTCTTAATATTATTTTGAATAATTTTATACATTTTTTCATAAAATGAAAGAAATTCACGAAATTCATTCTTGTTGCGCGAATATTATTAAGGCGAGAGTGGTCTCGGAAAAACCACTTTTATGAATACCCTGTTCAACACACCCCTCAAAGAAGAAATCCTTCCGAAAAATCCACAATCCACACAGACGGTTGAAATTGATCCTGTACATTACGGTTAGCTATCAATTTAATCTCTTGAATTTGAAACTTTTTACAATCACATTCATTACAAATGAAAATAAATTTTCCCCTTTTATTTATAGAATTGGTTGAAAATGGCGTAACTCTTAACCTTACTGTAGTTGACACACCCGGTTTCGGTGACCAACTTAATCGTGAACACAAGTTCGTTACTTGAATTTTTTTTTTTTGCTAAAACGTTGTTCCTATTATTATCATGGAATTCATTTAATAAATTTATACTTTTTTTTCGTATAATCTATAGCCTTGACCCCATTGTCGAATATATTGATGATCAATTCGAAGCATATCACGCAGCTGAACGTAGTCCTGAATTCAGACGTGCAATTCCAGACACTCGTGTACATGCCCTATTGTATTTTATTGCCCCAACCGGTCATGCGTACGTATAAAATTATATGCATTTTACAAAATAAATTTTTATGAATCAATCATAATAGTCCGCTAACTTAATCTTATTATAAAAAAAAAGCCTTAAAGAACTCGATATCAAGTCCCTTCAAGTTTTATCCGCTAAAGTTAATGTAATTCCTGTTATTGCAAAGGCTGATACACTTACACAAGAAGAAAAGGCTGCTTTTAAGAAAACTGTATGTATTTCAAAATAAATGATGATTTAATTCGTGTTTTATAAATAATAACTGATTTATTCTTTATACATTGCTGTATAATTAGATATCAAGAGATATCGAAGCCAATGATATCAGGATTTTCCCCACAGCATATCCTGATGATCGAGAGAGGGTAGAGGATCTTGAGGTAAAATAAATTAATTTATCATGACTATTAGCTTTGGGATATTCTCACTTAACACTAATCTTGTTTTTGTTAATTAATTACTATAGAAATACATTCCATTCACTGTAATTGGCAGCGATCAATTTGTGGATGTCGATGGTAAACAAGTACGAGGAAGGTCATATCGATGGGGTGTAGTTGAAGTTGAAAATGAAGCACATTGTGATTTCATTCACCTTCGTGAACTTCTTATGACACATGCCCTTCATGATCTCCTTGAAACGAGTCATACCGTACATTACCACAATTACCGAGCCATGAAACTTCGTTCAAGTGGTCGTCCAGAATCTATTCTTGCTTGTGACGATTCTTATGAACACAGAATCGAAAGAAGCAAACAGAGTATGGCTGAAGAAATGATCAAGAAAGAAGAAGAAATGAGACAAAACTTTGTAATGAAAGTTAGGGAGAAGGAAGCAAGCTTGAGGGAAAGAGAAGAGCAGGTAATGTCTATTAAAATTTTTGAAAATAATTTTTGAATATATATAACATTATTTATTTTATTTTAAACGTGCTTTTTCTTCTTTTATTTGTAAATGCAGCTCAACCAGCGCCGACAACAACTTATGGCAGAGTTAGAAGAGCAACGTCTGACACTTGCATCAGAGGAACGTGAATTTCAAGAGATGTATAACGCAAGTCGGAACGCCAGGTATCTAGTTTTTTCCTAATTCCAAAATTGAACTTGTTAAAAGCCTTTTATGTTAATAAATTTATTCTTCAATTCTTAGTCTCTCGAAAGGCAGTAAAATTTTTGGCAAGAAAAATTAATAATTTATAATATAATTTAATTTGCATTCATTAATTTTTCTTGTATTTTTATTTTCAATGTCATATTACAAATTCATAAATCTTACTTTTTTTATAAATCATAGAAGATATTTGGCAAATTCATACTATTAAATATATTTTATGATTGGTTCGACTTTATTTTATTATTACGGTTTTTTTTTTTAGACATACAATTTTTTTATTACATTGTTTGGATTTTTTATGTTGCTGGGTGACTAGAATTTTTTTTTAGGTTTAAATTATTTACTTTGAAAAAAACAATTCTAAAAATTACAAGTTTTTTTCAAATTCATTATAATATTATTATTAGAAAGATTTCCTTTTTATTTTTTTTTTTGTACTAAAGTTATTATTTCCATACTTACCTTATTATTATTTAATACAAAAGGGTGATTTATTATTATAAAGCATGATAATCAAAGAAAATGATTTTTATGTAAGGGTATGGATTATGATAACTTTGTATTATTAATATTTTTTATTTTGTGAAGTATATTTAATATTTATTTATTTTTTTTTTTTTAAAAAAAAAAAAAAAAATAAGATCAATACAGATATAATTTTTTAATATAAAAATATATATATATATATTAAAATAATTTTTTAAACAATTATAATATTACAAAGTATGAACATTGCTCTAAAGTAATTATTAAATAATTTAAATACAAATTTGTATAATTTAATATAATAATATCGCAAAACAAGAACTTTAACTTGAATCTCATTTCTCATTACAAAAGTCAAACCTCTATAAAAAATTTACTTTTCCCAATAAGCAAATTTTCATTTAATCAAAACTCTTTTTAACCATTAAAGCATCAATAACAGCTAGTATAGTCCATTTACGATTTTCAGCTTCTTGGAATACAAGAGATCTTGGAGAATAAAATACCTAAATTACATTATTATTTTTATTTATTTTTTTTTTTAAAAAAAAAAAGAGCAAATAAGCATAGGATCCAGTATGAATCAAATAACGGGACATTTTTTTTGTCACACCAACCTCATCACTAACTTCTTCTTGTTTCCTAGGTAAGCAATGTAAAAATTTCCAATCAGATTTTGCACCACCTTCTTTTGCCAATTGAGAAGTGATTTGAAATCCGGCAAAATCTTTTATACGTTGAGCCTTTTCTTCTTCTTGTCCCATACTAATCCTATTAGCAGAAGAAAATTTATTAGAATCAGGGACTCCTCTTCTCTTCTCCTTAATTTAATAATTTATTTACCAGGTATCAGTGACGATAACATCAGCATCCTTAATAGCTTCCCTCGGATCAGAACTAAACATCAAATGGGTCTGCGTACTTTTAGCCTCCGATTGTGCATGTCTGATGATCTCTTCATTAGGTCCATACCCCTTTGGTGTAGCAACGTTTAAACCTATTCCTAATTTAGGAAAAGTAACCATCATGCTATGTAATATGTTATTACCATCACCGATCCATGCCACACGTAAGCCTGGAAGTGTTTTGCTTGGATGGGTTTGATGTGCTACATATGACGATGGCGAAGATGGCTGGGGACCATATGTTTCGTGTAAAGTCATTAAATCGGCTAGAATTTGTGTTGGATGATACTTATCAGAGAGAGCGTTTATCACTGGCACTGTTGAATACTTTGCTAATGTCTTAACAAGAGGAAGAGAAAAAAAAGGATTAAACATACAGAGTAAAGTTCTAATATATTCACGTGATAAATACGAACCTCGATGTCGGAATGTGATCCAACACGTGCCATTATTCCATCTACCATGCTTGATACAACCTTTGATGTATCTAATAACGATTCATTGACTCCTAACTGAATATCCTGTGACCCCAAGAACATTGGATGTCCGCCTAGGAGAAACAAAAAAAAAACCCATCACGTTATTGATCGTTGGCTATCACATGATAACTCTGGTCGGATTATGTCATCAAGAATTGATTCAAGAAAATTCCCTCACCAAGATATGTAACAGAAGATTCGGTTGCGACTCTGGTCCTGGTACTTCTTTTTGAAAACATCACGGCTAAAGTTTTACCAGCTAGAGGTGCTCCCGAACTTTTATTTAAATATTTTACATTATGTTTATGTTGTATCGCAGAAGCCAATAAATTATAAATTTCCTTTGCGGATAAATCAGCATGTGTTAGGTAATGAGGAACTCCTTGCGGTGCTGGTGCTACATTAAGACTACTTTTAGTGTAGGAAGTTGTTGAGAATTTTGAACGATTTAAGGAATTTTTAAGGATAAGAGGACGGATAATTGACGACGAGGTTTGGGAAATTCGAAATAACATTTTTTAATTATAACAATTTTAAATTAATGAAATGTTATGTTGGAAATTTTCCATCTTTTTATATAATAATGAAATAATGAAAAATCTAAACATCTAAACAATCTTTTGATCATCGATCAATAATTTCAAAATTTTTATCAATCTTTTGATCACCAAATTTAAAAATAAACTTTTTAGAGATTCTATCTTAAATTAAATCATAAGATTTACATCTTTTAGCCAATCGATATTTTTTTTTTTTCTCATGGATTTTATATCCACGAATTCAAATAATTATGAGAATCCCGATGATTTAGTTGTTTCAAGTGATCCATTACATCCCGCTAACCTTATTCCTGAATTATGTAAATTATTTTATAATTTAGGTTGGGTGACTGGAACTGGGTAAGATTCAATAATAATATATAATAATATATAATTGATGAAATTCTGAATTAAATAATATCTTCTTTCATATTGAATTAGAGGGGGAGTTTCCATTCGAAAAGAGTAAGTAATATCCATTTATTATCATTATTATGCAAAATGCATCGAAGGTCACAAAATTTTAAAACCTAGTTTTTCTTTTGTAAAATCTACAGTGATTATGTGTATATTGCCCCATCAGGTAATTGTTCATAATGTTTACTTATAATTCTATCTTCCCTATCCCATTCGGTTCGATTCATCTTTCTTTCATACGCCTTACACAGGAGTTCAAAAAGAACGTATGAAGCCTCATGATATATTCGTACTTCATCTCTCCACGCGTAAAGTCATACGCGCACCTCCGGTTTATCATCCATCAGCCTGTACCCCATTATTCTATAACACATACACAAAGCGTAATTCTGGTGCATGCATACACTCTCATTCACAAAACGCTGTCATGGTTACATTACTTTACCCTGGAGAAACGTTTTCTATTACACATCAAGAAATGATTAAAGGGATTAGACGAGGAGATACAAAAGAGAATTTAAGTTATCATGATATGTGTATTGTACCAATTGTTGAAAACACTGCGGAAGAGGAAGATTTAACTGACAGTATGGCAAAGGTAAACGAAAATAAAAATATTTCTTGAAAAAAAAAACAAAGAAATTTGTTAATACGTTAGTTTCAATTATTTTGATTCAAGGCGATGGACAAATATCCTGATACTAACGCCGTTCTTGTGAGACGTCATGGTGTCTATGTTTGGGGAGGTAAATTCTATCTATTTTTTAAATCCTTTGCTAAAGTTTTATATTTTGAAATTAACATCATCTTACGGTTTAAAAGAAACTTGGGAAAAAGCAAAGGCAATGGTAGAATGTTATGATTATTTATTTGAGATTGCAACAAAAATGTTAAGAGCTGGATTTGATCCAGCGGAAGTACCGATACGTTCTACTAAGATCCGTCCATTCAAAGTATGTGATAGTTCACTGCATATTACAATTTATGCTTATTTGTTATTATTGTTATTAAACTTTATCTTGATTGAAAATATTACATAACCTAGGAATAAATAAATTATTCTTATAAAAAAAATAAGTAAGTTAATAATATATAGGTTATTTTTTAATGTTATGAGTTTTAGTTGCTTATAGATATCTTCTTGTATTAATATTTTGTTATTATGATTTTTTAAATCTGCATATTTATTATATGAATCTCCTGTCAATTTTAATACAAATTATAAAACTACAATATGCTTATTGATTAATGTGATTAATAAAAATCTGTGCAAAAATATCAAATGCAAAATTTCACAGTTTATTTATTATATGCATTGTATAAATCTGCGATAAACTCTAAAATATCAAAATCTTCGGAGTTCTTTATACAACCGTTTTTTTGTTTTACGAAGTTATTCTGAAGTTATTTTCGATTAAAATTTCAATTTATTAACTTTTTTAGTTCATTTCTTTTTTGGGTTTTATAATACCGAAACTAAACCCTTTTTATTTAAATTTTTTTTTGCCACATTTTTTTTTTTTTTTGCAAAGTTTTTCGCTCGTTTTTTTTTTTTTTTTGAAGTTTTTCTTGACCTTGCAAAAACTTTTAATTTTAAATATTATTTTCTTTGAAGATATTAATTTTCCTTCGAATATATTTGCATTGATTAATTTTTTTTTTTGAAGATATTCAAACTTATTATTTTTTTTCTTTAAAGGTATTTATTAATTTTTTTTAAAAAAAAATTTATCTTAATAAAAACCGATTTTCTATATCAAATCTTGGCACGATATGTACACTCCCCTGACACGGGTCACGGGAATTTTTTAAAATTATAGATGATCAACAATAATATTGCATAAATAAAGTGATACTAATTTTTTTTTATTTTTTTCAGGGAAACGTCCTCTATTTTTTAAAATAAAGAGTTTTTTTTTTCCTTCCTTTTTTTATTTATTATGAATGAAAATCGACGAGAACTAACAGACGAAGAAAGGAAC